CTCCTGGGAAGCAAGCCGCTTCCCGCTCTCCCCCCCGCCCCGAAGGCTTCCCCGGGCGGCCATGTTCGCGAGAGAGCCGTTCCGTGCTGCAAATCCGGTAACCGTGAAGGCAGACATAACGCCTGATCCCCGCCGGCCTTTGCGGGGTTTCCAAGCGGCTTCGTGCCCGCCTCCTTTACCAAGAAGTGAGACACGTTGCAGTCGCCCGAGGAAGGGTGGATGGTGTAGCTGAGTGTGGAAGACGAGGACGTTGTAAGCAAATTCCTAATGGCAGAGCTCATCAGGACCCATCCGGAACGAAGCCCGACTGGCTTTACGGAGCTTACTCCATTTAAGTGACTTTGAATGTACAGTGATAAGGATTGGTTAATTATGTGCTATCAATCGGTATGACTCTTAGCGACCACAGATAGATGTTCTCCATCACACTCTGTCCCTAATCTGGTCCTTCGGGACTTCCAACGGTGCACTCATTGCTGCTGTGATTGAGTCCATCCACCTTGCTGCTGGTCGTCCTCTTCTCTTTCTTTCCACCTTTCCCAGCATTTAGAGCCTTCTCCAGAGAGCTGAGTCTTCTCTCATAAGATGTCCAAAGTAGGATAATTTGAGCTTGGTCATTTGTGCCTCAAGTGAGAAGTCTGGGTTGATTTGTTCAATGATCCATTGGTTCTTCTTGGCTGTCCACAGTATTCTCGGGAAGCTTCTCTGACACCAAAGTTCAAAAGCCTCAATACTGTTAATGAGGTTTAGTTGGAAGTAAACATGAATGGGAGTAAAACACTCTCCCATGTTCTGTACCTGAGGAGGAAGGAATCCTCCCTCAGAGCCAGTTTGGTCTAGGTTAAGGCCCCAGGCTAGAAAGCAGGAGACGGTGAGTTCTAGTCCCGCCTTAGGCATGAAAGCCGGCTGGGTGACTTTGGGCCAGTCGCGCGCTCTCAGCCCAGCTTGCCTCACCTTTAATTATTTATAAAAATAAGAAAGGCAGGATAAAAAAATCTAAAAAGAAAAAATGCCTAACCATAATCTGGGCAAGGTAGACCCCCTGGAATGGGGCTGGGTGACTTTATAGACACAGGTGTATTTGCTGGGGGGTGAGGGACAGGCAAATGACAAAGCATATGTCACACTCTAGCAGACATAAATATCTTTCATGACATGCAGTGTGCTACAAATTACAGTGCTACATTATAAATCTGTGCTTTCTGTTTTAGTGTAATCCAGTCTCTGTATGGTAAGTGTATGGTAAGATGGGCAGAGAACTTCACGTCAAAGTATGTATCATTCCACACAATTTGCTCTGATTGATTTAAGTTATCCCACATGTGAATAGTGTGAGCAAAAATGTTTTCAGATTTCAAGAAACACATCTGATCGAACACAAACAAAAATTTGCATTATCTTTGGAGACTTGTTGGCCTGTTGATTTCACTCACTTCCACCTATGAATGCAAATATGGCCTGAAAGATCTGTTAACTATATTTAGCATATTTCCAAAGACAACTAATTTGGCAATGCAGTCCTATAAAGACTACTCAGAATAAAGTTCTCATGAGTTCAGTGAACCTTACTTTCAAGAAAATATGTAAAGCATTTCAATTTTAGGCAGATAAGAGTTGTAAATATAGTCTTTCAGTTGTCCCAGCAAAAATAGCTTTCAGATCTGTTTTTTTTTTAATGATTGTATTTCAGAATGTGATTTTGAAGTTTATTTTTAACTATTCTCTTTCTTTACTTCAAGTACAAATCGCAGCTGCTGTTGTGCTTCATTTTTGACCATCTGAAATTATATGTTAAGAGTAATTATTATCAATCCCACAGTGTTGCAGGATGTTTCTAATAAAGTTGTTGATATTAGATAGCATCAACCACTTTGCTCTGGCTGAATTAGCTTTATTATTGTTTCAAACAAACTTTTAGTGTAATCATTGCATTCTCTATCAACTTTAAACCAGTCCTCAACCAAATATGAAATATGACTGGGAAACTGGAAAAAAAATCCAGGAGGAGGAAATGGCAAAACCATTTCAATACTGCTGCCTCTGTGTCCATGAAATCACCAGATGTTAAGATCCACCTGAAGGAGAATTTATATCACCTTTATCTCCAAAATAAGTATGTGTTCAGGTATATCAGTGTGTGCTTTTTTGGGGGGGGGTTACATTAAATAAGGCAACCTCCAGCTTTCCTTTACCTTACTGCAAAAAGAAAAGTAAACCCTAGAGTTTAATGTGTGAGATTTTCCATTTTAGGCAGGGCCCTACTTTGGTGGCCTACAGCCACAATTGCTATTGGCAAATATCTCTCAGGCAGGACTGGAATTTCTTATGGTTGGGGTCAGGACGAATATTCATGTGTGTATTCTTTTTTCTTATATTGATTCTCTTTTTGTGCATATGCCAATGTAGCATATGCACTTCCTACCTTAAAATGGGAAACCACTACCAATTTTCACCAGTTATATCACCAACATTTGCCAGTTTGAGGGGGTTGAAAGAAAGTGCTTCTGGGACCACAGATGACTATTTCTAGTGCAGGGCATAGAATCAGACACTCTGCATAATACCGTATATTGTATGCATTGTGTGCATCTCCATGTTAACCGATGCCACCCTGTAAGTACAGTACTTCAGTGTGTCTAAGAATGTGAATTGGCCCAGAACTACCCTTAAACTGTTCAGTGTGCAGTCTGTTGTTTCTTAATAGCAGCTGGTGTTGCTGCTGCCCAAATAGAGATATAGCAATAAGAGCTCTCACTGCTTGAATTGGTAGAGTTGGGCTAAGTGGCTCTCTGCCTCTGAGCAATTTGTTCACTACAAGTTCCTAGCCCCTAGTCTTATACTTCCTTTTGAGTCATGGATCCTTTGTAGAGAATTCCATACACAAGGGGCATAGTTTGATATTGCAAGTGAAATGGAGGGTGTTTCTGTCCTCTTGCTGTTGCAATGCAGTGGCTTTTCTATCCTCTTGCTGTTGAGTCTGCATTGGGAGTAATCTAGTTGCATGGTTGATAGTTTACCTCCTAGAAAATATTTGTCCCTGATTCCTTGTCACCCAACCCCACCCATCTTCCTTCCCCACCCTTTATCACTCATGTTGAGTGTTTATTTCATGCCTTTTAATGCTGCAGAATCTCTCTTTTATTTAGCCTGAGGAGATTACAGAGTTGTTTCAAGGGGGAAAAAGTGGAAATCCAAGCAAAGTTACTTTCTTCCCACGCAGCAAAGGTTGTTGCTTTTCT